AACGGACCACGACCGACGAGGACCGGGACAAGCTTCCCGAAGGAAAGACGCTAAATGATAGCCTCATCTGCCTCTCGGGAACATTGCGCAACCTAGAACTCGTCGCCCTCTCCGAAGGACACTACCTCACACGCGGGCGGGAGCGCCCGCGCAAGCCCGAGAACCACCGGCTCACTTGTATCCCCCAGCTCGGTCACCTCGAAAACCTGACGCTTGACTACAGGGGTGTTTTTGGCACGCTGGGGATACTCGAGGAGGACGACGGCGAGCGGCTGTGCCAGCTGCTGCCACACTCGCTGCGTGATTTTACGTTGGTGTGCGAGTGGGGCACGACCAAGGATTGGAAGCAGAGCTACCTCGCCAATCTGGACATGATACTGTACGGTGTCGAGCACTTGTGCACAAACACTCAATTGCTACCGCGTCTTGCGAGTATCTCGCTCGCAATCCATTCGTGGCCGGCCAAGAGCCGGTTCCACCGAAGGTTCAAGCGGGAGGTGGAGCGCGTCCGGCTTATCTGCGCGCGGGTGGGCATCCAGTTCCGGACCTTTGACCTGCTGCCGTGCTACCGGGATGAGGATGAGGTGGAGTCGGTAGAGGAGGACGACTTTGAGGACGAGGAGGGGGTGGATGAGGACGAGGAGGCGGCGGGGATCGATGAGGAAGACTATGAGCTCGAGCTTGAGGAGGAGGACGAGGCGTCCGAGTACTACTTCTCGGGCGACGAGGAGTCGGATCCCGAGCGAGAGGCGCGGCGGCCCAAGAGCTTTGACGACTTTCTGCAGCGTCTTGGCGAGGACCACGGCCATAACATGGATGAGCTGTTCTACGCCTTCCACGAGGATCGGTGGGATGAATACCTCTTTTGAGAAAACGAATAATAATCTGTTGGACACTGGGGCATTGAGCTTAGGGTGAAATTGCCTCGAATTGCCGGGGGCCCGAGAAATCTGAAGGGGGTGGTCCGGCTTTTTCCACTGACTAGCTGCTTTTTTCCATCACTAAGGTCTCGCCACAGTGGATCAACTGACCGAGGCCAGACCTCCGGTCTCTGCTATAGATGCGCGAGCCCAATTATACGTGTGCTCCAACTCTCATATGGGTGTGTGGGTGGGCGGGTTGGTACCCGATGCTGCTGCAATGACACATGCGAGGGACAGGCGCGGGCTCGGCAGAGGATCGTGGCATCCGACTGGACAAAGGATAGAGCTCGCCGTATGGTTTGCAGAAGCTCAAAGAGCGCTGCTGTCCGCCACACGGTCATATGAATACGCTGTGTCACTTCGGTTCGCTGGAAGGGTGTCCTCCCCGCATCGTTACATTCATTTCGGTCGCTGCAAAACACGTCGCCGTTTGAGGCGGGGCTTTGGGAGTGTTGGTTTTGGTGAGGGGAGGAAATTGTCCGAATGGGTCAGCTCCTCCCGGGGTTGATGTGGGAGTAGCCGGGCCCCCCTCTGGGACATGTTTACTGAACGGGTCGGTTTTTGCGGTTTTGGACGCTCATCAGACTCAAAAGGTAGGTGTGGACAGTGTGCTGAGTGACGAACATGACAACAATCTACCGACGCGTTGGGGGATCAGGGACGCAAAAACAGCAGGACTACCCAGTGATGTAACCGACCGGCGCTTGGCTCGGTGGTCGGGCCCGGCAGACACCGCTGTCCGCATTGGTGTGTTGCCGTCGAAGAGGGTGGGCAGTCCAGACCCTTTCTCCTGACGATCGACGCTAAAATCGATTTAAGCATGAACCCTGGCTCGGCAAGCACCGCTTGCTGCCGAGAACGACAATGTCAGGCAGGCAAAGCTAACTCACGTCTGTCAAGTGCCAGATCGAGGGTGGATCGAGGCCTGGACCGAGTGAAGATTCTGGACCTGCAACGTCAAGCCAGTTTGAGCTCGACAAGACGCTTTCGGTCACGCAAGAGAGCTCTCCCTTTTCCCATATTTCCATTTGTTTCAACTCTCGCTTTGCTTCCCCGCATATGCACCCCGGCCGATATCAACCTGGCGATATATACCCGCGGGTAAATATCAATATGGGATTGCTCACGCAATGGGCGGAAAGCACACTCTCTGCCTTTCCAGAACTTCCGGGCAAACCAGAAGCAGCACTCTCTCCTCCACCCGCGCCACCAGGCGACTGCCGACCCCCGTCTGGCCCTTGGGGCGGAGGACCCGCCCCATCAGCAATTATCGACGAGCTGTTTTGCCGGTTTCTGCCCTGGGGACGTCCCTGCTGACGACGATGTGCGCCCGTTAGATCACACTCGCTATGGCAGGCATGGCTAACGCCATTTCGGCTCGCTAATTGGAAGCTGGGTTGAATTGAGCAGCTTTGCCATGGTCTGTCTGGCTCTGGCTCCTGGCCCCTGGTCCTGGTCCTGGTCCTGGTCCTGGTCCTGGTCCTGGTTCTTCTCCCTTTCCGTCTGACTTGAACTGTACAGCGGGAGCGGCAAATAACTCAGTGGCATGTCCTTGATTCCCTTGCCTGAGCCCAGGTTTTGCAAAGAAGAAAAGAAAAAAAGAGCTGGATATTGCGTCTCTCCACTTTGTGACCCCTTGTCCGACCGCCGAGACCGTTCTCTGCTCCCGCTGTCAGTGCCGTGAGCTGGCAGGAGGAGATATGTAGTCTGGCCCCTCCTGCGTCGCCAAGCGCTGCTCCCCGGACTACATGTATGCAAGGGCGGCGTCTACACCGTCATTGTGAAGCTTGTTCCTTTCGCCCATCTCTGTCGTACACCACATCGGTGAACTTTTTTTATTTTTTTTATTTTTCTTACAACCTGTTTCTCCGAGACGGACGACGACCAACAGTAACTGCAGCCATGCGGTCTGACCGAGATCCAAGTCTGCGGCCACTCGCCTTTCTAGTGGCAGCGGCGTCACTCGTGGCCGTGGCAAGGGGCGCGTACCCCCTGACGACAGACTCCAACTGCGGCTGCTACAAGACGAATGCGACATCGTCCAACTATTTTGCCCACCACCAGTTCTTCGACTTCCGGTCGCTCCCGCAATATGTCAACCAGACGAAGCCTATCAACGACTTTGACGCCAACGCGCTCGCGCCGACGACAAGCGCTTACTTCCGGTCCAACACATGGATGGACGCGTGGGCGATACAGAGCTGGAACAACACGGGGCTCCTCAGCCTCAATAGCTCCGACATCAACGACGCAACGGTAAAAATGGTCAACAGTCCCAACAACATCTTCATCGAGCGCAGCACCGACGGGTCCGTCCAGGGCGGCGGGTCGACGTACATGACGATGCGGACGGTGCGGCACGAGCAGTTCCAGAGCTCGTCCGAGTTCGAGTCGCGCAGCAAGGGCTACCAGTTCCTGTCGATCCGGATGCTCGCGCGGACCAAGGGGGCCAGCGGGGCGGTGACGGCCATGTTCACGTACCGGCCGCCGCCGACGCCGCACAACATGGCGCTCGTGCAGGAGGCCGACCTCGAGATCCGCACGCGCGACCCGCCGGCCTACGTGCAGTACACGAACCAGCCGTCGTGGAATGACACGTCCGACATCCCCGAGGCGACGCGCAACGCCAGCCTTCCCGGCGGCCGCCGCTGGAGCGACTGGGCCATGTACCGCATGGACTGGACCCCGGGCAGCAGCACGTGGTACGTCAACGGGGCGCTGCACAGCGCCATCGCCTTCCAGGCCCCGCGCGACCCGGCCCAGGTCATGTTCAACAGCTGGAGCGACGGTGGGTCGTGGTCGGGCCCGATGCGCGTCAACACCGAGGCCGCCCTGCAGATCCAGTGGATCGAGCTGGTGTACAACAACACAGACCCCGGCGCCGTCAAGACGGGCAAGTGCGTCAACGTGTGCAGCATCGACGAGACGACGCGGCTGGGCACGCCCGCGCTGATTACTGGCGGTACGGTCCCCTCTCTCAGACTTCCCCCCCGAATGTTGATCGTCTTCCTCGGTACGCTGACGGCGTTTGTTTTGTTGTGAGCAGGGAACAACACCCCGGTGCCGCCGACCAACCCCGTGCCGCCCACCCAGCCGGCCCCCGGCGCGTGTGCCGCCAAGCGCTACGACCAGTGCGCGGGCAAGAACTGGAATGGGTGCAAAGCGTGTCCGGCGGGGACGACGTGCAAGTTTCAGAATGATTACTACTCGCAGTGCCTGTGAGGTTGTTTGTTTGGTTATTTGGTCTTTGGAGTGTGTTTTTTTTTTCTTTTTTTTCCCCACCAGGAGATTATGCTGGAGCAGCACGACGGCGATGCATCTTGGCTTGGCTGTCTGGCTTGTTGGAGAATGGAGTTTAAGTGATTGGTAAAACCGGGGATGGACGGAGCATACCCGCTGGAGAGGAAAACGGTACTGATATGAATGACTGGAAAATTTATTTACCTGGCTACACGGTAGCACCTTTTAGCTTCAGACGATCTGGACAGCAGTTGAAGTTCTAAATTTGCAGCATGAAGGTTGTTAAAGGTTGATATCGGCTCGCACACAACTAGCAGAACCAACGACACAAGATCTTTAAAAAAGAAAAAAAAAAAAAAAAAAGAGATCTCAATCTTTCGATTGATATGTGCTTGACCGACAACGGCATGATTTGAACATGCGCCTCCGAAGAGAATTGATTTCAAGTGAATAGTATTCGAGTCAATCGCCTTAGACCGCTCGGCCACGTTGCCTGTTGATGAAGAGCTCAAGGTTACAGCCCGCTGTAAGGGCGAGACCCTGGATGCCCAACTTTGCCGCTTGCATGCGCCAAGGTTGTTCTCGGTAGGAGACTCCACAAGACCCCGTTGGGCCTGCTTGGACTCCGCTCGGCCTGACAAACTCTCCATGGAGGGCTCCAGCAAATATCTGCAGGTCCACCTGTAAAGGTCCGTATTTCTAGGCAGCTGTTGTCCCGCTGGCGACGTTCTTGAGGCCCTTCTCCACAACTTTGCGTCCTTCCCTAATAGTACGTAAAAAAGAGCGGAAGCATCCCAGATCACCAAAAACGAGTAGCAGGAGGCAAAAGGAAAAGCGTGGGATTGCCAGGAATCGAACCTGGGTCCTCTCGGTCGCTGTGAATGACCACAACGAGAAGTACTGACCACTATACTACAATCCCTGATGTCTGTTTTTGGGGAACGTTTCGAATTAGCGCTCATGTAGGTTGATTAGTCAGCAGTAGCCGCCAGTTGTCACTTTCCCAGAGTAGCTGTACATATCGCCGTCGCACACTTTTTGCATCCAGACGGTTGTCACATTGCAGCAGCACATCGGTAACTCCCCGATGTCCAAAGTTCTTTACAGACGTCCCTGACAGGCTTGTAAGCGCCGAGTCGTTCTTAGATGGCGGACTCATAAAGACTTGGGTGTTTCCGCCACAGCGCTGAACAAAGACTTGCCTGTGTCTCACAGGTCGTGGATGTTGCACGAAGGCACTAGCGACTGGGAATGCACCTAGAAGAATATGCATCTACCAGGATAATCTGACGAGAGACATTGGACCACTGAGCGGATGCGATTGGTCTCGTTTGGTAGCATCGTGCAACGATCCTTCTCATTCTCGGATTCGATAATTGGAAGTTGCAGGGCTACACTAGTGTAAAAGATTAATTACAAGGAAGGAAAGTCCGTTGGACCGTAGGAGGCTGGACCTGTCAGCTTATCGGGTTTCATGTTTCATCAGCGCCATTTTCTTTTCCTTTCTTTCCGACCTCCACATCAGCTTGCGGCAGATTCAACAACATAGCTTCGGCTGCAAGACTGTAAAAATATCCCGTGTTCCATCTATCTACCTTGACACGCGCCTTATGCGCCTGCTGCATCCGAATCATGTGGCCCTTCGACGCCCCGTATCCCGAGCTTCGCGCGGCGGATGTCGACGGCGAGACGTTCGACTACATCATCGTCGGCGGTGAGTACCAATCATCCCCTTTCCCGAGAGTCGCAACTGACTCCCGCAGGCGGCACGTCGGGATGTGTGCTCGCGTCGCGTCTCTCCGAGGACCCGTCGGTGTCCGTGCTGGTGCTCGAGAAGGGACGCGTCGACGACAGCTTCCTCAGTCGCATCCCGCTCGCCTCGCAGAATTTCCGCTTCCCCGGACTGCAAGCCGTCATGCGCCTCTCGGAGCCCATCCGGCACATGAGTGACCGGCAGGCCGAGATCTGGACCGCCGAAGGTGTAGGCGGCGCCACGCGCATCAACGGCATGCTGCTGACGCGAGGCATCCCCGGCGGTTTCAACGAGTGGGCCTGGGACCGGGGTCTGGCCGACTGGAGCTGGGACAAGGTCGAGCCCTACTTTCGCAAGAGCGAGAACGCCACCCATTATCCCGATGCACCGCATCGCGGACACGAAGGGCCCATCGTGAACAGGGCCACCCATACCGTCCTGGGCTGTCTCCCATACACCGAGATTGCCTCCAAGGCTGTCGGACTGCCTGTGGAGCGCGACTTGAACGACCCAGCTGCAAGCGCCCAGGGGTGCTTTAATCTCGACCAAACTTTTGATGCCCGGGGGAATCGTCTATCGGCCTACCGCGCGTGGCTCAACCGTCGTATTGCCATCGAGCGACAGTCGCATCTGTCTGTGTGCACGGGTGTCGTTGCGACAAAGTTGATTTTGAATCATGAAGCCGACCGCGTCGTCGGAGTCCAAATCAAGTCTGTTGGGCTCCGGTTGGCGAACCGTGACTATCCCATCGTAAAGGCACGCCGGGAGGTCATCATCTGCTCCGGTACCGTGTGCACGCCACAGTTGCTGATGCTCAGGTAGGGGATCACACCCAAGTCCGAAATCCCGGCCCGTGTGCTAACACTGAGCAGCGGCATCGGACCGAGGGACCAGCTCGAGCCGCTCGGAATCCCCGTTCGCCGGGAGCTCGACCAGGTCGGGAGAAACCTGTTCGATCACACATCCGTGCCTATCATGAACGAGGTCCCCCGAAAAGACACCCTGCACGTAATCGAGACCTTGTTCGGGGTCCTGTGGAACCTGATCCTCTACCTCTTCTTCGGCACCGGCCTGCTTGCCCAGAGCTCGACCCCCAAGAGCATCTGGGTGCGCAGCACCGCCATCGACGACAGGACCATGACCGTCACCCACGTCGACGCCTCGGGCCGCAGCACCATGGACGCCTCGCAGCCGCGCAACATCCCCGACGTCGAGATCATGATCACACCCATCAACTGCCTCAACCAGGCCGTGCCCGACAAGACCCTCATGTCGTGGTACACGACCCTGGTCCAACCCTACTCCCACGGCCGCATCGAGCTCGCGTCCGGCGACCCCCTCGCCCAGCCGCGCGTGTGCTATCCCATGATTACTGACCCGCGCGACATGGCCGTGATGCGCAAGGCCATCCGCTTCACCATGCACCTGGCCGAGAACTTCACCTCGTCCGGCTACCCCCACCCCGCGCCCCTCACCTTCGCGCCCGGCATGGACCTGGCCTACCTCGACTCCGTCTGCGGCAAGCCGCGCGAGGGCACCAAGGCCGCAAAGAAACCCGCGCCGGGCCTTCCCACCCCCGTCCCCGGTGGCCAAGTGCCCTCGGCAGCGGCGGCGCCGGGGTACTCTGACAAGGACACCCAGAAGCAGCAGGAAAAGGTTTACAAGCAGAACTGGCGCACCGTGTCGGACGGCGAGATCGACGAGTACATCAAGCGCATCTGCTCGTCGAGCTTGCACTTTAGCTGCACCGCCCGCATGTCGCGGGGCCCCGATGACGGCGTGGTCGACCAACGGCTTCGGGTGCATGGCATCAAGAACCTGAGGATTGCGGATGCGAGCGTGTTCCCCAAGATTCCCAGCGCGCATACCATGGCGCCGACGGTCATGGTTGCCGAGAGGTGTGCCGACTTTCTCAAGGAGGAGTGGGCCGATCGGAGGTGATTCGATCTATATGGTATACTTATATGCAGGATGTGTTTTAGACTTTTACATAAAACCCCTATCATTTATTCGCTTCTATGCCGGATATACCTGCTATGCGATTCGCGACAGTCTAACTAAATGTAGCATGTCTCTATCCCTTGACCACCGCAACTTTGCCCTCTTTCTTGCTCCCCTTCGGTACCCTCGCCAGCCAGTACACCAAAACAGCGGCAGCGGCGTTGAACACGGTGTACGCCCAGAGAATGCCAAAGTTGCGCCAGCGGTCCGCGTAACGGATGCCGAGAAACTCTAAAAACACATCCGTCTGCTCCACCGGGCAATACTCACACAGCCCGGTCGCCCGGCTATCAACCAGGTATCCGCCCTGCGTCGTGATGTACGGCGCCATGAACGCGCCGCAGGTCCCGTTGCCCGAATCGAAGCTGAGCAGCTCAATGTCGGAACAGCGCGCCTCGCTCTGCGACAGTCCGACTGAGAGCACGGCGCTGACGAGGTAGGTGAAGGGCGAGAGGTAGTACATGAACTTCCAGAACCCTGGCATGGCCGTGGGGCTCACGAGGACTCTTGAGTGCACCAGGTTAGCTACGGACAAATTTACGGATGGACAGGGATCACTCACCCGCAAAACACCAACCAAAATGTAAACAACCCGCTCGCCGCGTTCCCCGCCGCCTCGGCTGTCTCGATGGCCGCCTGGATCAGGTACCCAAACGTGGTTGTGAACATCAGAAACACCCAGAGCAACAGAAACATGAGCGCGCCCCGCTCCGTCACCGTGTCGGTCGCGGTGGCGTTGCGGTAGAAGCCGATCGGGTAGTACCACACGACAAACATAAAGACTGACATGAGCGTGTTCCACGCTAGCTCCGTCGCCATGTTGGACACTAGGAAGACGGGCCACGAGTACACCTTGGAGGGCCGCTCGCGCGCCTCGTACAGGTCGCGCTGGGCGACGAAGTTGGGGAGGATCTGGGGGACGAAGTTCGGGAAGATTGTTCTGGGCAGGGTTAGGATGGGCCGTCCCAGCGTGTAAGGGGGGGGGGGGGTGGGGGAGGGGGCTTACAAAAGCATAAAGATGCTGAAGGACTGGTTTTGGAGACCTTGGATCGTGTTGTCGGACATGTAAAAGGCGAGGCCGAGGAAGAGGGACTATTTCATTGTAAGCCCCCAGCCACAGGAGCGCGGATGATAGGTAGAGCTTACGGTCAGAGTTGTGAGCGCAATCTTCGAGTAGATGTACGACGGCGACCGCCAGTACTGCGCGTTGACGCGCTTGGTGCACTCCCACAGCTGAACATGATAGGGAGCGGCAAACTCCCAGTATTCCGGGCCGTTGTGAGTTGTTGTCGCGGTAGCCTGGCCTTTTTCGGAGAGGTTTGCCTCCATCGTATCAAGCTCGGAGCTTTCGCGCCAAACTGCCGGCCAGTCGATATCGCTGTGTGAGCCGGGAGCGCAGCCGATTGTCTCCATGAGCCACTCGGCGGGGTTCCCGTCCCCAGGACATGGCTTGGCGCCGTTCCGCTCAAAGTAGCTCGTCAGTGTCTTACACCCGGCGCCAATGTCACCAAAGTAGGCCGGTCTGCCATTCGGGGCGAGGAAGAGCAGCCGGTCAAAACGCTGGAACAGGGGGGCTGACGGCTGATGGATGGTACACAGGACTGCTTGGCCGTGCTGCTTGAGAGTGGTGAGGAGGTCTAGAATCGACCAAGCTGTCTGGCTGTCAAGGCCGGAAGTTGGCTCGTCGAGGAAGATGAGGAGCTGTGGCCGGGCAGCGAGCTCGACACCGATCGTGAGTCGCTTGCGTTGCTCAACGTTGAGGCCTGTTTTTGTCAGCTGACATGTTTCTTTCAACGACGCTGGTGACGCACCTTCTCCTGGGATGCCAACGACTGCCTCGGCATACTCTCCCATGCCCAGAAGTTTGATCACTTCCTCGACGTAGTCAAGCTTTTCCTTCTTGGTGGCCGATGCAGGCTGCCGCATCAGCGCACTGAACTGGAGCGACTCCCTAACCGTGGCAGTCGCCAAATGCAGGTCGAATTGCTGGGCATAGCCTGTCTTGCGCTGAAACGACGTGTCGCGGAGAGAGCCGTTGACAAAGACGTCGCCAGATACCACGCCGATGGTGGTGCGTGTGGCGAGCACGTCTAGCAGGCTGGTTTTGCCAGCGCCGGAGGGTCCCTGGTTGGGATGTTAGCCGGCGCAGAAGGAAATGCCGATACGAC